GCTGAAAGCACCTGGAGTGAGGAATGAGCTTCTCACTGCAGTGCTGAGCCCACATGCTCCACATAATCCCTGCCTGCCCTCTAAGCCTACCCTCTGGCTGAGCTCTGGCAAATGGCAGCTGGAGCTCTGTAGTGCTGCTGCACCTGGAGAAATGCCCTACAGCTGCTTTCTCTTCCCTGTGAGTGCAGCAGCGACCTGTGTCACCCACTGGATCCACCACCAGAATCAGTATCTCCCCAAGCAAAACCCAAAACCAGCCAATCTGAACTTTTGCTACCGCCAGCGCTTCCAAAAGCAGTGTGGGAGAAGCAAAAGGAAGAACTGGTTGAAAACTTTACAAGCGGCCATGGTGGGAAGGGGGTGATGCTAGCCTAGCAGCCCCTTGTATTCTGTCCTTAGGCCTTTGTGCCCCACTGTTGGGGATGGATGACCATTGTCTCCTGAACTAGTGTGGTTCAGCTCTACCCAGCAGCCTCCCCATGTGCACAGCTACTGCTGTCGCACACAAGCTGTAGGCAAAATTTCCAAGCAGTGTTGTGAAAAAATGTTTGGGAAGGATATAGCCAGGGCCTGGAGAAACCTCTCCATGACACACCACAGCAAGGTCACTGCCATCCATTCATCTTCCTCTTCAATATCAAAGGCATTGGAGCTAGGGCTTAGGGGCACATGGCACAGGCTTGAGGAGAGGAAGGGAGAAGTCCAAGCCTTTATTGCACAGTAGGGTTCTTTCAGCCCATCCCCCAAGCATGAATTTCAGATTATGATCATAGGAAAAGATGATCATCAGGACACTCATAGACTGACACAGCAGGCTCCTACCTCCCTTGAATCTAATGAACTAGAAGATCATTTTCACAATTCTTACATGGTTTGGAGTAACGGGTTCCCAACAAATGCCTTCTCTGGAATAGCCTTGATGTTGTTGTTATGGAAACCCCTGGTGGAAGAGAAATCCTGGGACATTAATAGTTGGAAGATAGGAAAGAAAACACTTTTAAAAATAGAGAGGCTTAGAAACTCAGAGGAGATGGGATTGAAGCCTTGCACTCTGTCTTGGCTGTAGTGTCATTGAAAGTGTATGAGAAGCATCATCCAGAGTCTTGCTGCATTCAGCAAGACAGGCCTAGCACCTGATACTGGCCCCCCTTACACTGAGGGGCATAGCCTTGTGTGAATAGCTCCTCTGAAGTCAGTAGGGTCACTCATGGATTGGGAGTTGATGGGATGCAGCTAAAGGGGCTGGAACCCAGCATCCCATGAATGGAACAGCCTCTTTTACAACACTGTACCCAGCTACAGACTGCAGCTGGTATTGGTGGTCTCATCGCTTCATCTCTACGACTATCAACCAAGTTTGCAGTTTTTTCAGGCTAAGGTTGGCTACCATCATTTTTCAGGGCTTTCCTTAGCATGTTTTGGCCAGGCCTGGGGAAAAAAAATCCACTTTTGTACAGCTTGTAACCTTCCAGTCTGATCTGCTCTATAATGGAGCCAGAAGTTCGTGATGAACCCAAAGCCCAGTCTCTGTGTGATGGTGGATCCCTTGTATCCCATGGGGATCTGTTCCAGTAGTTAATTAGCCTCACTTTACAAACTGTGTTTTGCTTTTGGCTGTGAGGTTCCTTCTAATATTCTCTCTGTGCAGGAAATCCTTCCACCAGAAACTTTTGTCTCCAGTCCCTCCCTCTCAAATCTACTCAAAAAGCTGCCACCTGTCCTGATGCTTACCCCCAACCTGTATCACAATGAATGAACAGAACAGTCCTCAGGTTCATAAATGATCAGAGAAACTACATGCATCTTCAAACTGGGCTTGATCCTATCTCAAAACCCATCCCTGCTGCTTTCACTGGGAACACTGCTGTGCCCTCATTGTCATAAACTTCAGCAGACCCTAGAGAGTTTCACATTGACTTCAAAGGGCTTTGGCTTTCACTGGTGGTCAGGCCTAGAAGGAGGGTGAGGCCAGACAGCACGAGGGTACTGCCAAGCTGGTAGCACGGGCATGCCAGTGCCTTGTGTGTCCCATCCCTGCTACCTGAGGCAATATCCATTAATGCCCAATGCCCTGTGCAGTGTGGCATCATGGCTGGAACCACCTTTTCTATGCTAATAATGCCTGCAAGGTATATTGTGCTGGGTAGGACTATGCTGCTTCTATTGCAGAGAGAATTTGGAGAAAGCAAACAATGACTTGGAATGGCTGCTTTTCTCAATCAGCACATACACGGCTCTTTTTGTGCCATTCTCTTGCTGAAAATGAAAATTTAAAAATGAAATAACTAGAAAGCCTCACAGCTCCTGCAGTCGGCCCAAGGTCCTGATGGCCACAGGGAATTCCAACAGCTCATTGTAGTTCAGGTCCCTGGAAGAGAGAGGGAGGGAAAAAGCAGTCATTAAAGATGCCACAGGAGCTTAATGGAGTGTATCCATGCTCTGAAGGGATGGAAATTTGGTTATTAAGCATCAGGGATGAAATTTTCCAACTGCACTCATTCAGCCACCAATGTCTGGAAACAACAAACCCTCACGTGTTCCTACCACGGGAATATTCCCTGCTAGGGGCACTGTCAGGCAGAGGCTGGTCCAAGCTCTGGCTGCTTTGAAGATGTTGCTGTCTGAAGTATTTTGCTTCCCATCCCCTCAGTCTCCAGAGCTTGTCTGTGCTGGGGCTGGCTTAGTATTTCTGGAACCTCCAAGACGCACTCTCCTAGAGATTTGCTCCCACTCACGTCCTCCAGTGTCACATCTGGGCATGTTTACATACCACAAGGAACAAAAGCAGCAGCTTCTATTTCATGAGCCCTGCATAGGAGCTACTCTCCTATTACCATCTCTGACCAGCTGCAGGGAGCAGGAAATTGCAGAGCAGAAGGCCTTCCACTGGGAATGCTTTGTCCCTTGGTCCTGCAGTTCAGCTGGGAGCAGAAAGCAAGACCATGTCAGCCTATGGTGTCTACTATCATGGGAAACAGCAGGCAAAGCAGGCTCCAAGGAACCTCTGCCTGGGCTCAAGCTTGAGACAGGAACTGAAAGTCATGAACCAAATTTGGGTTACTGACCCTGGTGCATGCGAGGCTGTAAGGAGCTAGGAACAGGTGTCATTTACAGTAGTTTTATTTAACTTACACCCTTACATTAGCTGCTTCGCTTGCTACCCACTTCTGACCCCGTATCCCATGACATGCACCATCCAACACTTCCTAGGCCTCAGGGCAGTGGTTTCAGAGGTCATACGAGGGGTGTGGGGGTTGCAGATGGTGGAAGTGGGTGAGGATCTGGTACCACATCCTCAGTGGGGAAGGAATAGAGGGCAGGTCTCCTCAGTTCAGATGCTAATTCAGCCCTTGTCAAGTCTCCCACTGACTTCAACATGCACTTGCCCAAGGCCTCGAATGATTCTCATACACTCACTTGGACTCAGGTCTATGTCATATATTTCCTGGAGATAACAGAGTCAATCTCAGTACCATTCCCTACCGATGCTATGGTTGAGTTAATTGTGTGTGGAGAACAACAGGGCTCCAGCACTAGAGTTGCCTCATAAGAGGACTGGAGCAGACTCTGCCCCTGAAGAGGGGTGTCAGCTTCAGCAAGTCAGCTACGTTCCTGAACATTTAATATGGTCAATACTCTTCCTGGAAAGTGCAGTGGTACAATCCCACCCTTGTTCTACCATCCCTTACTGGCCTTGGTAGCAGAAGGCTACTTTGCAGGCAGCATATTGCATGATGAGGTTGGAATATCATGTGTTTCCTTTCTACTAGCATGCAACTTAGTGGGTTGTAAGCAGTAAATACTCTGGAACATTGGTTTAATTACTGTCTCCTGCAGATTACTGTATAATTACACTTAATGGATTTCCAAGCAATTACTAACTAACCTGGATTGTGGTTTACAGGACAGAAATAACTCTGCCTTTACACAGCAACGAGATGGTATTTGCTGCCTAATTACTTTGTAACCCTCATCCTCTGGGACCATGCATTGTAATTACGTGCGAGTCTCCCCAAGTCTTGCCCTTACATGGTAATTACCCTGCAACTCTCCCCCAGCCACGCCTCAACATGGTAGCTAACCAGTAGCTCTCCCCTAGCCCTGCCCCTACCTGGTAATTACTCCGGAATGTGAAATCTTCCCCCAGCTATGGTGGCGGGATGGCATGTGTTTTGTAGCAGTGACATCTCAGACTAGAGAATTCAGTTGTCTGGGAAAGGTTGAAATATCCTAACAGTTTCCTAATGTGGGCGAGCAGCTGCCCTACCTTGGGCCCCTCTCCTATACTGCTGAACGAATCCAAATCCCAGGGTCAGGATCTTACCTGCTGCTTTCTTGCCACAGTTGCAAGTCTGTCCTTGGGCGTGCGTGATGGACTGGCCACACTTGGTATTCTCTAATGCTCCATTGCTAAGTAAGACACAAATGAAGTCTCCTGCTCACATCTGACCTAAGGCTGTTGTCATGAGGGAGCCCCCTTGCTCGTTAAGAATGGTTTGGCTTAACACATTAAAGCATGTGCTAATGTCATAGGTCAGTGCACACAACAGGGCACTTTCCCCATCTTTTCTCTCAGAGCTATTCAAATAATCTATCTGTGAATAAGCCAGATAACTCTGTAGCAGCTGTTTATGCTGCCCATCACTTGCAAGGACTGGAGTACTGGCTATTTGCCACTGCATTTCTTGGTCTCTGGTACCAGACACTGTTCTTTGTCACAGAGGGCAGGATATGAGGTGATGGGTTCAAACTTCAGCAAAGCAGATCTAGAGTCCATCTCAGGAAACACTTCCTTACCATAAAAGCAGTAGGACAAGCCCACGTAAGTTGTGGAACCTCCTTTATTGGAGGTTTTCAAGACGAGTCTGGTTGTTCACCTGTTTGGGGTCGTGCGGGAACAGTGTATCTTACATCTATGCAGGGGCTGGACTACACGACCCTTGAAGTCTCTCCCAACCCTATGATTCACTTCCCATTATATGGCTGGGTAACTGACACCCAGATTTATAAGGATATTTAGTCATAGAGTCAATGGACTGGAAGGGACCTGTAAGGTCATCGGGTCCAGTCCCCTGCCATAGGCAGGAGGTTAAAGACCTCAAACAAGCTCATCAAGGTGCTTATCTAGTGTCCTCTTGACCACCTCCAAGGACGGCAACTACACCATCTCTGCTGGGAGTGTGTTCCAGGTTCTAGTTACCCTTACGGAGAAGAAGTTCTTCTTTATGTCCAGCCTAAATCTTCCCTCTGTTAGTTTGTGACCATTGGTCCTCATCATCCCAAGGGTTGCCTTCCGGAAGAGTTGCTCCCCCAGATCCTGGTGTTCTCCCTGGCATATCTGTAGGCGGCTATCAAGTCACCTTGCAGCCTCCTCTTACCCAGACTGAACAAGCCCAGCTCCCAGAGTCTGTCCTCCCTGGGCCTGCCCTACAAGCCTCTCATCATGCAGGTGGCCCTTCTCTGCACCCTCTCAAGTTTATCTGCGTCCTTCTTGAAGTGCGGCGCGCAAAAATGGGCACAGTACTCCAGTTGTGGCCTCAACAACACTGAGTAGAGGGGAAGAAGCACCTCGTTGGATCTGTTTGGCAACACATCGGCTGATGCGCGCCCGGGTGCAGTTTGCCCTGCTGGCGACTTCCTCGCACTGTTGGCTCGTATTCATCTTCTGGTCAATTGTGACCCCCCAGGTCCTGTTCAGATGCTGTGCCAGCCAGTGGGATACCGCCTGTCATATAGTTGTGGTGAAGGTTCTTCCTACCCAGATGAAGGACCTGGCACTTTTCCCTGTTGAACCTCATTTGATTCTGATCAGCCCATAGGACCAGTCTGTCATGGTCATCCTGGATCTTTACCCTATCCTCAGATGTGTCTGCATTTCCCCACAGCTTGGTGTCATCTGCAGACTTAATCATAGAGCATTCCACCTCCTCATCCAAGTCATTAATAAATATGTTAAAAAGCACCGGTTGAATCACTGATCCCTGTGGGACACCACTGGAGACAGTCGTCCAGGATGAGGCCATCCCATTGATTACCGCTCTGTGGGACTAGCCCCTAAACCAGTTGTCCACCCACCTCACTGTAGGCTGGTCCAGGCCAATTCCCTCCAGTTTGACTGAGACAATTTCACGGGAGACAGAATCAAAGGGCTTACTGAAATTTAAGTAAATGATGTCTACCTCATGACCCTTGTCCAGCTGGTTAGTTACCTGGTCGTAAAAGGACACCAGGTTTGTCAGGCATGATCTACCCTCCACAAAGCCATGCTGGTTGTTTCATAATACCCTGTCATTTACAAGCTTGTGGTTGATGGCCTCTTTAACAATTTTTTAAAAGGTTTTTCAAAGGCTAGAAGTCAAACTGACCGGTCTGTAGTTTGCAAGGTCATCCCTCCTCCCTTTCTTAAAGATGTTGGCCCTCTTCCAGTCATCCGGGGCCACCTCCGAGTTCCACGATTTTTTGAATATCTTCGCCAAGGGCCCTACCATGAGTTAAGCCAGTTCTTTCAGGACTTTTGGATGTAGGTCATCTGGCCCAGTGGACTTGGAAACGTCCAGTTGTTCTAAGAGGACCCTCACCTGTTTGGGACTGATGTCATGTTGTTTATAGGCTTCCTCATGCTCTCTGGGCCTCTGGACAGATGCACAGCTCCTAGTAGCTTTCTGAAATATTGAAGTGAAGTATTCATTTAGGAGCTCAGCCTTTACATGGGGGTCAATTGTGGGCTGTCCCTCCATATTCAGTAGAGGTCCCACAGTGGAGCTTGATTTTTTTCTTGCTTCCCACGTACCTGTAGAAGCATTTTTATTGTCCTTCATTTTGGATGCCTGCCTTGGCTTTCCGTATCTCATACCTGCAGACCCAGGTTACATAACTGAACTCTTCTCTGGTTGCTGAACCTTTTTTCCATTCATTATATGCATCTTTTTTCTTTTTCAAAAGTTCTCTAATGTCCCTGTTGAGCCAAGCTCCTTTCCTGCTCTTTGACTGTGTGGGAATGGCCTTATTTTGGGCAGTGAGAATTGCTCCCTTGAAGAAGCACCATTGCTCCTGAACCATTTTGTTGC